CTCCGCCTCTTTCAATCTAAACCAGCCGTGTATTAGAAAGCTAATTCTGTCACTTGGTTCAACAGTTCCACATGTCAGTTGGCGGGTGTAAATATTTAATAATCAATAACCTCAATGTAAGAACTAGTTTGTGGGGTGCAACCAGTTTGGATTTAATGATGGGTAAATCACTTTGTAAACTGCGTGGCGGAGGGCTGCGAAGGAGTCAGCTGATGAATGTTGACCCATTCAGTCAGACACCGTTATTATCAGATCAGACCTGCAGTGTGTCAGATCAGAGCTGGTTTTCATGCAGAGACAGCAGCTTGTTTGTAGCTGTGATAGCAGTCAACAATGTGGAAAATTTGTATCATCATCATCATTATCTAGCTGTACCTGCACTGTCTGACTCTGTCTTGGCCTCACCTTAACTTTCCACTGCTTTCATGTGTCACTACTCTCTTACAGCTCATTCGGAAGATAAAGAGCATTTGTTTCTTTGTTTCAAGCCTTGATGAGCAAGTTGAATGAGTGTGTTGTGGTTACACTTATATTATAAGTATTTGGTGAAGAAAATGATGACTGTGGCTATGCCGGAAATGTCCGAATCTGTGTGACAGTAATGCAGCTCGATAACATCACCATCGACTTCAGTCCCGTCCACAAGGAAGGGCTGATTGGCTGCAGCAGACCTCTGAGTCACCCAACAGGATTACAAACTGTCAATTCAGATTTTTGGACCCAGGTTGACCCTGAGACGAAACCATGAAAACAGGATGCAGTGTCTTAAGTATGAGAAGATCAGCTGTCAGAACTCGTCTGTATCCAACACTCGTCTCTACTGATCATTTTCCTTCCCTCCCTCTCAAACACACATTTACTTCTCTCCTCAAAATAGATATCTAATGCTACATGTGAAGCTAAGTGAACAGTGTTGCAGAGCTAGTGGAGCGTTTGTGTGTGTGTGTGTGTGTGTGTGTGTGTGTGTGTACAAATTAGTCTGCGTTAATCAAACAAACGCTCGTTAAAGCATAACCGCCACATACACACTGAGTCACATGACAGGCAAGAAAAGGTGAGCATGTGTGTTTCAGTAGGTGTGTCATTAAGTTTTAAAGATCACCTTTGGACTGAAGTGAGGGTGGTGTGCTTAACAAGCAATAATGGTGTGTGTGTGTGTGTGTGTGTGTGTGTGTGTATTATGTATGTGTGTCTAGTTTCTTTTCTTTCATAATTCTCCCAACACATTTTCTACTTCTTCAACAGCTCACAGTAGAATAGGGATGTGCTGGTAACAAATAATTTTACTGTGACTAAACATATCACCGTCAATGTTTTAACCACAATGATCATAAAACTTTCCACTTAGCACTAAGATACAGTGAAATAAATTGACACCATCATGACCTTGACCATTTTTTTGGTTTTTGATCCAATTCACCAGTCTATAAGATTTCCCGCAGTGCAAGAACTGTGTAGCAAGTTTTTTTCTGCTAGGTATTAATGGTTAAAACGTTAGAACATAATAGCAACGGACCGCAGCACAGTTATATTGGGCTCTTACAAGCCACTAGTACCAGTCACCCGTCTGCACACCATCTCCGCATTCCTACTAACAAGTACTGCAGCCAGGGTTAAAGCTGACCATTGAGGAATGATGTCATCTTATGTAATGTCACTCATGTAAAATGCATTCCCTCTCTCACTTAATGTTACAACTCAGCACTCACAAACAAGCTGCGCTTCGGTAGGTTGACCAGCTACAATTAGCATGGCAAGACATAGTAGGTACAGCCAGAGAGACTAGGAGCCTGGTTGGGAGGTCCTGCAGTGGCTGCTTTGTATGACTGGTAAAATGTCGCTTTGTCGTTGTTAATCGAAATAAAACTGCTAATGAAGGCAGGAGCACTGTGCTGTAATCACGGTGCCTCTGAAAACACATATAGTAACCGTTATTGAAATTCTCATAATGTTTCATCAAAGTCTACAACCTGTTCTCATACTTAAACTACAAAATAGGTGGGTTGTCACTGACTACCAAAGTGACGCATATGACGTATGGAAAGTACCAGCCCAGCGACAGGCATAGCGGTCCTTAAGGATGTACGTACGTCACCTACATAATGTTATTTAACTTAAAACTTAAAATAAGTCAAAGATGACTTGGTTTCACAGGACTCAAACTATGTTCTCCGAGGTCAAAGTCCTACCTTTGTTTGACCCATCTATCCACCCCAACTACCTCTGTACATGGATTTCTCTGTCTTGACACTATGTCACTTGACTTCCTATAGGTCACGGACATTTTTTTGCCACTATTTTTGCCTGACTTTTTATGACTTACTAGAGGAAAGCTGATTCAGAGTTCAGACAACACAAAAACCTTCTCTTTACAAGTACTTGAAAGGTCAAGTGTTTATGTAATCAGCACTGTTATGCAAGTATGTTTTCACCCTGAGTTTATATATTGACATTTGGAAGATACAATGGTTATTCTCAGAGACTGGAAACTCCATGTTTAATTATTTACTCCACTATTACTATTTCCATTAATGATAGGAACACGTTAACTGATTCTGTTGCTTTAATGTGAATCATTTATGTAGAATAATGTACCTATTTGGTCTCTAATGAAATACATTTTCCCCTATTAGTGCCTATATAATTAAGTTATGCCATCATCTATGTAATTAACACGTTCCATCACAATGACATCACCAACTATTTGTGTAATAATGTACAACAAACATGAATGCGTTGAGGTCTTTGGCCAGTTTATTTCACGTTCTTTTTCTGTTGCCTTATTGTTATAATGACTTGACTTCTGGTCAATGAACAAACAGGATAATTACTGAACCCAGAGAGGGCATTTGTCCTAGTCTATTCAAGATACACACACACACACACACACACACACACACACACACACACACACACACACACACACACACACTGAGCTCTATGTGAAACCTGATATGAGGAAGGTTAAAACATCTAAAAGACAGTTAATAACAGGGGAGGGTAGAGGTTACCGTTGGAGGGACTACGCCATGTCCTAACTGAACGCGAGTGTCCGTTCAGACTCTGTCTACACTGAATCTGTTCAATATGCACTTCTGTCAGGTCATGTAAACAAAGCAAGTACCTATCAGCTGTGTGCTCGTGATCAGACTGGAGAAGTGACCACTCAAGTAAAAGATGAGTGAGTACATGCTATCTTCCTGCATTTGTAATTTTCAAACAGAAAACACGCATATTGTGACATTTAGATGTTTCTTTATTGGAAATAATATGTAATATGGCTAACAGCAAGTCTATTATGTATCTATTTATTATGTGGATGTTAAGTATTTTCTGGTTTCTGACCATAAACTTCCAGCTCCTCCTCCCAGAGCTAAAGAATTTTAGCAGCGTTTTCAGTCTCTGTTTCCACCTCAGCATGCCTTCTCTCCTACGTCAAACCAAACATTAACAGGAAACAACACTAAATAAAGGTGATGAACAAGATGATAACTGCTGTAGTCTGATGGTGTCCAAAAACTGCCTCAATCAAAAGTGATCTTAATAATCTGTCTAATTTACCTGATTTTCTATGTTCCTTAGATGTGGAGGAAACATGAATGTGCTAATGCGACTTTTAGTGCATGAATTTATATCTTGTTTATTGAATGTATTTAATGAATAGTTAATGAGCCCTGACTTACACTACTTCTGATTTACTGATTTAGTTCTGGGGGAGCATTTCCTGAGGGACCTTCAAAGAACCCTCTAACATGCTCTGAGGTACTAATCGGTACAGTGGAACAAACCAACAGAACACCGCAGTGTGTGGTGGTCCCGGATGTTTTGGTGTAAATTAAGCTTCTCAAAAATGCAATCCATCCATGTTACGTATTCAATCTTTTCAACTTTACATGCTCTCCAAATGTCTCTGTGCAGGTTAGAGAACCACTAACTTAGGCAATTGCCTGTGCCACCTAAACAATCCACAAGAAATGTTAGGAGAACCCTGACTCCAGCACCAGCAGCAGTACTTATCTAACAGTCTGGGATGCTCTCTGTGTGTGTGTGTGTGTGTGTGTGTGTGTGTGTGTGTGTGTGTGTGTGTGTGTGTGTGTGTGTGTGTGTGTGTGTGTGTGTGTGTGTGAGACAGAACACTAAACAGTGAAAAATTGAGGACAGTCTTTGATGTGCACTTACATAATCTGTGATGATGGGTTGGAATGCCACACTTTGGCCACACACACACACACACACACACACACACACTGACCCAGTGGAGTTTGTCTATCGTCCTCTGCTTGTTGTTGATTGGCTCTCAGAGCTGCAGTGTATTCAGTCCTCAACTCTTGTTCTTCATCAGCTGGACAAAATAATACAGTTTCCTTCCCTTATTGCTTGGTATCTTATCTTTTTTCTGATTTGTAATCACTGTAATTGAATGTGTTATCCAGTACTGTTTTATTATAGCATCTACTAATAAAATCAAAGGCTTCCTGTCTTCAGCCTGTTTGTTTAACTCACTGTATAGCTGTGTAGATTTACTCAGATGTAGATGTGATGCTGAACTGTCATGCAGAAGTAATTTTAGTACATGAGATCATGAATGGTTTTATTTAAGCAATTTCTCATTTTTATTTGACATTATTTTACACCTTTGATCAGAGTGTTAATGGCAGACACTGATGTACTGATTTACTGTCTGGTGATGCACTCTAATGTTGTGAAGTATGAAATGTGACTTATCCCTAAATGAGAGAAGAGAAAAAATTTATACTGTCTCAGAGGAGCTGCGTAAACCGATAATCATTTTATCATAATGACCTCTGTGATTCAGTGGACTCCTTTAATAATCTGAGATGAGGAACTCTCCTCTAATTGGTCCAATTAGTCTCTCTGCTATTAATTAGTAATATTCAAGCAGTCCTGAACTGATCTGTCTGCGATGCTGTTTGACGCCTGTTTCCTGTCTGGATCTGGTTTATTAAAATCCTGTTTTCCTCTTTCTGTTTCCTCTGCAGCAACAAGCCAGCAGAACATGTTCACTCCCTTGTTTCACAAGAGGAGCATGCACGTCCGGGTCAGGAGTTAACCTCTGAGCTCATCTCCTCCACCTGCCTCCTTTAAGAACTACACTACCCGCAATTTCTGTGAACTGACTACTCGGTCTGACATTTAGATCAGTTTAACAAAGAGACACTCAGAGGAACAAAAACTACAATAACAACACTGCTGTGAAGAGGACCAACATGGCCAACAACACGGCAGACCACCCTCCGGGGAATTCGGTTGCAGAGGGCAACCATGACGGGGACTTTGGGGTGACCGTGGCAGAACTGAGAAACCTGATGGAACTGCGGAGCTCTGAGGCCGTCAACAAGATACAGGACACGTATGGAGACGTGCAGGGCCTGTGCCGCCGGCTGAAAACATCACCTATAGAAGGTAAGACACGCCCAACACACTTAACAAGACTGAAATGACTGGTTTAAAAAAGAGTACAGGCTGCATAACGAAATGAAATTTGTAGTTCCTTAAAATATGGTAACAAATAAAATAAAACCATATACAGTTATTTATATACATTTATACACACCCCAAACATTCCACAGTGCATTTTTTGAATTTGCATCCGGAGCGAATGCAAACAACGGCAACCAGACGACAATATGAAACTTTCATCTTCACAACAAAGAGTCCGACACCTGGAAGTCCATCCCGACTGCGTTTGTTCACCAAGCATCATCGGTGTAAAGCACAGAGTCCACAGAGTCCACTTCCTCTCATCTTGCCGGAGTCTTGCACTGACAACTCGGAACATGGCCGAGCGCTTGATCCAGGATGTTGAGGGAGCAGGTCTGTGTAACGATGTGGGCACAACGGTCTCTGAATTCCGTTGTTTGGTCAACATGAGTCCCATTTTTTCAAACTGGATCTTTAGGAGCAGAATTAAGTCCAAGCTGGGCCAGCATGGATCCTCTCCTGGCTCTCTTTCCTCTCTTCTGAGCGATCACTGCACTAGTCCGGTTGTTTGGGCCGGGTGGATCATGATTGACAAATGTTCCGTGGCCTGCTATGGGTCCGCGCCCCAGGGGTTGGGAATTGCTATTTTAGATGGTACTAAAAGCAACTGTTTGAATCATCAGTCAGCGAGACTGCAATTTGAATCTCATTCAGTCAAATCACTGGCAAGGTTCATTTACCAACCAACTGCCCCAGGGGCCCCCAACAGCCCTAAGTTCATTGTGTGTCAGATTCATTAAATGTAAATTTGTTCGACAATTCGCACTGCTAATGTTTCAACACATACAGGACTAGGCACTATTACCTGGCTCGCTTTCCCTGGCGAGACTCATGCCAAAACCCTGGTCCCTCTCACTTCAACTCAAACACTTCGCGGCCCTGGGCAGAGGAACAGTGGGGCGATCCAGAGGAACAGAAATTTTTTTTGTTAGTCTCATGTACTACTGTCAGGATATAGTGACAGTTTTAGAAAATATGACAAGTTATTTTTAAAAGAATTCCCTACTGCAACTTTAACCAGGGCCCTCTAATAGGTAAATTTTTTTTCGCTGCGTCATTGTACTAAGAGCAGCATAAGATAATGTCATGGTAGTCTCCAAACCTTTACAAACCAAGTCTCAAAATGGCCCCTACACACCCTAGCACTCTCAGCTGTAATGCTCTATGTGAAGCTAATTTTAGGTTTAAGCTGCATTGATGAAAATGCGTGAGTAACAATGCTGATTGTTTAAAATAAGCAAAAAATATGTATTTAGAAAACAAAAAGGAATCAAATTGGCGAATCGGAGTAGATTTGGGCACAGTCCTAACACATACACATCAGGAGGTGACAGTGTGTGAACCATTAAACAGCGATGATTCAAACAGACAGACATTTCTGGTAAAACATGGACACACTCCTTATTTTGTGGTGATAGATGATCAGTTTGGATTTCAGTCAGAGCTTTGTGTGAGGCCAGAAAATGGCCGACATGCTGCTGTTGTTTTTCTCTCCCTTTCTCATCTTTTGATCCGTGTGTGTGTGTGTGTGTGTGTGTGTGTGTGTGTGTGTGTGTTTGCAGCCATCGTTCCATTCCAGGATTGAAATTAGTTCCAGCCCGTTCCCCTAATGGCTCCATAGATCATTGCTCTGTTCCATTTAGTAATCAGAGGACAGCTGTAGTCGCGTCGTCCACGCAAGAAATTACTCACTTTAATGAAGAAACTGTAATTATATTTTCACTGCATAGAGGGCGGGAGGGAAAAGGGGGGCTGAGGTTGGGGGTCTAAAATTTAAGTGTGTCTGTCCTTTCTCATCAGTATCATGTCCTTCATCAGCATAGGTGTCTGTGTTTGCTGACGTTTTTTTGGTACTTCAGTGATTCAGTATTTCACTTCCATAAAGCTCCAAAACCACTGGATCCTACATTTACCATAATGCAACCGGGTACTGGCTTTTATTACACCTCTCCTGCATAGTAAACTGCTACTTCTGTAGTTTGTAAGGCAGGCTTTCTGTTTTGTAGTCTCAAAACCCAAGCTGAAATGACCATCAGCTGACATCAATTTGACATCATCTGGGTTATTTTTTCCTTCAGGTCCAAAGAATACTTTACACAAATGGCTGAGTAGAACCAGAGGTGATTTAAGAGGAGACGCGCTACTTTAAGAATCCTGAATACAAACTCAATTGGGAAAGCCCGTAACCCCAAAGATGGCAGTTAACTTGCCCCTTCCACTGGAAAGCCAATGCTTTTAACAGCTGAGCCAGGAAACATATTAAGCCAATTGTGTGGTTCCACTGACGGAAGGGTCTTCTGCGCATGCGTCACTACTACCACTCGGGTGTAGTAGAAGTATAACCAATGGGGGAAAACGATTTTGGTCATCAGACTTTTCCAGCGTTTTTTATCAGACTTTGCTGGTGATTCTATATATGCAGTTTTTATGTCCAGGTGACCATTGAAAGTGCAGCTATGGCTCTCTCCCAATTCATTTAAATAGGGGCCCCGGGGTCTCATTTATAAAACTGTGCGTAGAAACCTCACTAAAAGTGTACGTACACCCAATAGCCAAAAATGGCGTACGCCAAAAAATATTCAGACTTATAAAACCGTGCGTAGGCACATCTGTAAGCAAGTTCCCTTTATAAATGACAACTTGAAATGTGGGGCATGTGAGGGAGCTCCATGTCCGACCCTTCAAAAGCCCTATAAATGGTCATTCAAAACACCCTTCATTAATATTAATATGTACTGACTGCATGAAGAAAAGGAGGCAAATTCTGACCAAAAGCTACAAAATGAAACTTTCATCAGTGTGACACTGATGTTCCTTTTGGTGAAGCTGAAGCATGTTGTTTGGTGGGTAAAAAACACACTTTCACGCAATGCTTGTGCCCCGGAGGAAAGGGGGCACCAGAGCTCCACCCCTTTATAACCGATCTGCAGGCAGGAACGGGCATCCCTCCTGAGTAGTGACGTCACTGGCTGGAAGGGGACACACGCAAGACGGGATGACCCAGGTACTAATTTGGATTCCCGTGTTTCAAAAGAGATTAAACCAAATGCATCCCACCTGTGTTTAAACATGTATTTAGGCTACATAAACAGTCCACTCACTTACCGAGGCTGCCGATAGTTAAAAGAAACATGACTTGTTTTATGTGACACACACTGAAAGATTTCTTTAAATGTAAATTTCTTTCCATAATGCGTTTTTACAAGCAGCGCATGACATCCACACGCTGGCGTACAGCGTTTGGCTCAATAAGGCAACGAACATGTGATAACCATAGGCTACATGAAACTGTGCACTCCTATTTGCTCAACTGACGCATTGAAAACGGCATCAATTTAAATGTAATTTGTCCTTCTGTTCACCTTATTTATAAGAATAAATTGCACTGCATGCAAATATTAATTATATGATTCCCAATTAAACTGTACAACATATCTGAGGCGTTCTTTTGTAGAAACAGATATCTCCGTTAGTGTTTATTATCCTAAATCTGGTTCTTTGCGCTGTTCTTTGCGTGTGCTCTGTAAATGATCTTAAATTAGGGTTTTTTTTGCCCACTTCAAGGAAAATCAATCACACGGGTGTTTGTTTTTGGTGTTTGTTTGTTTGTAATATTTCGATTTACTTTACACAATAGTAAGCGTATTCATTTCAGACCGTTTCATCCTTCTGCCATGTGAGTCTCCATTTCTCATTTCTGTAGTTTATGTGCATACGCATGGTTCAGTTTACTTACAGAATCGTACATTTTCCCGTCAAGTTTGTTTTTTATAGATCAAAAGCTTTGCTTGGGAAGTGGTGTACGCACATTTCCAGGCCTGTTTTGAACGGACACACCGTTTATAAATGAGACCCCTGGTCTTGTTTGTCCGAAAGAACCGCCAGGAGGCGTTACCAAGATGGTTGCCGAGTGGCGGGACTTGCATATAAGGACTTTGGGAGAACTAACCATGGCTAGTAAACTGACTTTGACATGTAAAATCTGTATTAATGATTCTGTGTCATGATGTACGGTTGTTCTAGTGTAGGAATTTATTTTATTTTAGTTTATTGTTGGATTTCATCGGTTACGGCCAATATTATCCGATAGTTTTAGCTTTTCACAGACATATGAGCATTGGTTGATATTGTAGTTCTGATTTCACAGAACAATCCCAACCCAAGATCCACTTATTAGTTTTTGTTTTTTTAGAGCTTTCAACTATATTGCATGATCTTCATCAGTGGGACTCAGAAGTTATCATGATCTCATACATAGCACTTCTTAAAGGTAAAATGGCTATTGCCTACAGGCCCCAGAGTTCTGTTAGAAATAACACACATGTCGACCACTGGGAGGAGTCAGAAATGCAACAGAGGAAGAAGAAAAGGTGTATCTGTTTACAGTGCAACCAAACAAACAGTGGGTTGAGATGATTCATCTCCTCACTTTTGTTTTGATAAAAAAAAGGAAGTCAATAATTGTCCACTGGCCTTTAATTGGCCTTATTTCATGCTGTGCACAGCACAGTTAAATGAGTTGTTTACCTTCAGTATGTGTTGTGTGTGAGGTTTGCTGGTACTGAAAATGTCGACCATGAATAGCATCCAAATCCTGAAATAATGGAAATCTTAAGGATAATAACGTGTTTGCAAATTTGTCATTTGCATTGTAGAGAACCAGTACAAGTCAGTACTGTGTCTCTGGGACAGAAGGGAAACCTGCATGAGACCTGAGTTTCGCACAGCGGTTATCTGTTTCTCACCTTAACCTGATTTCCCACAATGATCTGGTTATTTGTGGCCATGAAAACACAGTCAGCGTCTGTCCTGAACTGAAGCTGAGATAGATAATGTTTCTCACATCCTAAACAGAAACCTGTTCTACTGTATGATAGCCAATTACTAAACCGATTGGTTCAGTTAACAGAAACATTATGTTA